CCAGGGATGTGGGGATGGTCCTGGGGCTCCAGGAGAGCTGGGAATGCTCAGCTGGAGAAGGGCAGGACCCAGGGAGAGCTGGAGAGGGACTGGGATGAGGGATGGGGGGACACGACACTGGGAACTGGTTAAACTGGGAACAGACTGGGAAACCAGAATGGGAACAGAATGGGAAACCAGACTGGGAACCCAAACTGGGAACAGAATGGGAAACCAGACTGGGAACAGACCCAGGTGGAGCTGGAGAGGGACTGGGATGAGGGATGGGGGGACAGGACACTGGGAACTGGTTAAACTGGGAACAGACTGGGAACCCAAACTGGGAACAGAATGGGAAACCAGAATGGGAACAGAATGGGAACCCAAACTGAGAAACCAGACTGGGAAACCAGACTGGGAATGCAAACTGGGACCAAACTGGGAACCCAAACTGGGAACAGACTGGGAACAGATTGGGAAACCACACTGGGAACAGACTGGGAAAACAAACTGGGATCAGACTGGAAACCCAAACTGGGATCAGACTGGGAACCCAAACTGGGATCAGACTGGAAACCCAAACTGGGATCAGACTGGAAACCCAAACTGGGAACAGAATGGGAAACCAGACTGGGAACAGACCCAGGGAGAGCTGGAGAGGGACTGGGATAAGGGATGGGGGGTACAGGACACTGGGAACTGGTTAAACTGGGAACCCAAACTGGGACCAAACTGGGAACCCAAACTGGGAACAGAATGTGAACCCAAACTGGGATCAGACTGGGGACCCAAACTGGGACCAAACTGGGAACCCAGACTGGAAACAGACTGGGGACCCAGACTGGGAACAGACTGGGAACCCAAACTGGGGAACTGGCCAAGCCAAGCTCAGCCATCCCCTCCTTCCACCTTCCCAACCATTCCCTGAAATCTCCCCTCGGAATGGCTTTTCCATGGAGGATTTTCCTTGGACCCCTTTGCCAGGACCCCACTGCAGCCTCACCTCCTCCTTCTTCTTCTTTGGTTTGCTCTCCTCGCCCTTGTCCTCCGTGTCAGACTCGGCCTTGCGCTTGCTGCCCTCGGATTTCTCGCTCTCGTGCGCGGTTTTCTGCGACTGCAGGAACTCAGCGATCAGATCGGGGCAGTCCAGGTTCTCCTCGGGCTCCCACGTGTTGTCCTCGCTGCCAGCAAACACCAATCCCTCAGTTTTCTGCTTTTCCCAGATTTTCCCAGTTTTCCCAGAAAACCCCGGCTGTGGCACCATTGGGATGCAGGATTTGGGATGTTTGGGCTGATCCAGGTGGGAATCCCAAATCCCGACCTCCCCGTGCTGGATCAGGGGTTCTCTGGGATACTGATCCACCTCCTCATCCCACAGTTTTTCTCAGCTCCCACAGCTGCTCAGGGAATCAAACATTCCCAAAAATCCATCCAGCGCTGGCTGGGAACACTCTGCATTCAGAGCTTGGAGGAAAATCCCTGCTCAGGAGAGAATTCCTTGGATGCCACACTGGGATTGAGGGGGGAAATCTCTCCAGGATCTGTTCCCAGGTGGGAATGGGATTTCCCACCCTGGCACAGAGATTTTAGAGGATTTTCTCCCCCTCCCTGTTTGGTGTGGGAAATCCTTGGGAACACTGGGATTTTCCTTGGGAACACCGGGATTTTCCATGATTTTCTCTCCCTAGGACTGGAAATCCTTAGGAACACTGGGATTTTCCCATCCAGCATTTCCTCTCCCTGCCCTGGCTGAGTTCTTTGGGAACACCGGGATTTTCCACATGTTTTTTAATTGCCTGGGATGGGAAATCCTTGGAAAAAACATGATTTCTGTGGGAACGCTGGCATTTTCCAGTAATTTTTCTCCCTGCTTTCCCTGGGATAGGAAATCCTTGGGAACAACACGATTTCCTTGGGAACACTGGCATTTTCCAGTAATTTTCTCTCCCTGGGATGGGAAATCCTTGGGAACAGCACCATTTTTGTGGGAACACTGACATTTTCCTTGGGAACACTGGCATTTTCCTTGGGAACACTGGCATTTTCCTTGGGAACACTGGCATTTTCCTTGGGAACACTGGCATTTTCCCA